TCGAAAATACATTAGGAAGTTCCATGGGCAGGAGGTTGCCCAAGCCACTGGGTGGTAGCAGGGCATGGCCACTGCATCTGCAGCCCTGGTGTCATCCACAGAGCCCAAACAGGGCAGGCAGGAGTCACCAGAGCCAGGAGTCACCAGGGAAAGCAACATTTCCCCATATGCCTTGATGAAAATCATTCCTTTATGATGGTAATATGTAATAATAAAAATCATTCCTTTGTGATTTTCCAGCAGGTGATTTAGCAGGAGTCTACCTGAAGGATCCCTGAAAGCAGGGAGATTTCCATCCCTGGGCTGTCTCCAGGGTTACAGCTCTGTGTCTGGTACCTTCCACAGCCCCACATGGCATTGTTGGCCTGGGGAGCCCTGACACTATTCCCAGGGGTTGGTCCATTCTGTACAGCTCAATAAATAGAGAACTGGATCCAGAGGCTCAGGTAAGTCAGGGAAGAAGCCTGACAAGATCCCAGAAGAGGTTTGCGAGCAGCAGGAATAAGAGCAGGGCCAACAGGGGCTGCAGTGGGTATTGCTTTAATCCAGGACAGAATTTAGCAGAGGAGTTGAAACCTCTCCAGAAGCAGCAAGAGCCTTCACATCACCCAGAACACAAGGAGGAATCCAGTTGCGTTAAAATAATTCCACGGACAAAGCAATGCAGCCACAGAAATTAGAGAAGGAGAAGTAGCATTATGTCATCTCTCCTTTCCTTCTGGCCAGTCACTGGCCTGATTTCCTATTCTCTTGTGCTGGTTTAAAATGACTTCAGCAACTTGGTTTCTGCTTGTTCCCATGGGAAACTTCCACAGTCTATAGATTTCACTGGTAGGAAACTCTTCTTGACAGTCAGACTATATTTTCCTTTACTCAATTCCATCACATCACTCCTACTTACGCCTCCTCGGAGCACCCTAAACGCTCTTCTCCATTGAAGTCGGGGCAGTTATGTGAGCAGTAAATTTGGCCCGTGGCACTTGGAGAAATAGATATTAAAACCCCAGGGACGAATTAGGGAGCGAGGGGAGGGAGGGCAGTGGGGGAAAGGAAATGGTTTCAGGTTGAGAGAAACAAGATCTCCTCTTACATCTGTACAGTGGTGCTGCCCAGGGCCCCGGAGGGAGCACGCCTGGGACGCAGCACCAGGACACTGCAGGAGGCAATGACGTCCCTGGGATGTGCCTGGGGTGACCCTGGGGTGTCCCTGAGTGCTGGTGGGGTTACAGAGCCTCTTGAGGGCTCTAGGGCAGTATGTGGCACTTGGGCTTGGGTGCAAAGGGGTTGCATAAAGCCCTGGGCACTTGTCTTGCCCGTGGTTGAGCTGTTTTGAGTCCCAGGGCCTGTCACCCCCGGGGTGGCCCAGCCCCACTATTTGGGATGGTCACTGGCTGCTGGTCCAGCAGCCCTGACCCACAGAACACTCCCTGCAAGCTGTGCCTCCGTGGGCTAACATACATGTGTTCTTCAGGACAAAATCCCAAATGCCCTGGGCCCTTTCCCCCCAGCTCTCACCTCACTGTCGTGGCATCAATATGAGTCCAGCAGATGTGGGCAGGGATGGAGAGGAGGCTGCTGACAGACACACCAGATTTGTCCATCAGCAATCCTCAGCTCCCCTCTGCTCTGGAATAGCACAAGGTGCACTGCAAAGGGCATTCATGGCAGAGAGGAGGGGAGGGGTCTGCACCACAGATTTCTTAGGGGAGAAAAAGTGGAATAATGAAGTGCAGGACCATGGGACCCTGCAAGGGGGCAAGGGCTGGGACATGGACTCATGACTGAGGAACATCTCAGGGTGCTGCAATAAGGACAAAACCCTGTTATAGACACATGTGGATGGAAGAGGACACATGAAAACATCCAGAAGCCCCACACCAAAGCCCTACATCTCAGTGTGCTGGGTGCTGTATGTTCCCCAAAAGGGGGTGGTGTTGGCTGGTCACCTCGTCTCTGATCAGGTCACTGCAGGGTTACACACTCCAGATTGCCTCCTTTTCCCATCATCATGCACTTGATTAACACCATGAAATGGCAAATTACTTTTCTCCAAGCACAGCTATGACCAAACTGCATCCTGTCTGGATTGGGACCAACAGCACCCTGGCTTGATTTTTGGGTACCTGCTCCTGTTTGTCACCCCAGCAGGACAAGTTCCTGCAGATCTTTAAAGAGCTGTGTGTGAAGTCTTTGTCCTTCAAACATGTGGATTTTCTAACTGGGAAGAGAAAAAGCAACAAGGGAGAACTCAGCATCAGGCCAGCAGGACAGGATCAGCACTGGGAACTGCTGCCTCATGTCCGACTCCAAAAAGCACCAGAAAGCACATGGCTGCAGGGGTGGGTGTTGGTGAGGTGAGGTGAGCCCACAGAGCTGCCCCTTCCTCTGTCTTGCTGAGGATTTGATCACAGAATGGTTTGGGTTGGAAGGGACCTCAAAGCTCATCTCATCCCAACCCCTGCCTTGGGCAGGGACACCTTCCACTCTCCCAGGTTGCTGCAAGTCTCATCCAACCCAGTCTTGAATACTTGCAGGGTTGGGGCAGCCACAGCTTCTCTGGCAACCATCTTCTCTGACTGAAGGTGTTCTGGGTTCTCTGCTTTCTGCCCTGATTGAACAAGTGTGTTTTGCACCCTCCAGGCCCATCTCAGCAGTGTTCCACTAAGTGCCACCATGACCCCTTGTCAGGAGCTGCACTTTCCCAGTGCTGTCTGTGTAATCAATCAATCAATCAGTCATCAAGAAATAGGATCTGGAGACTGTACCCATGCAGCTCAATTAGTTATTGATTAACCAGCCAACCAGCAGGACAACCACTCTTATGATTGCAGGGCACAGAGCAAACCCAGCTGTGCATTTCTGTTCCCCTGCCCTTCTAACCCTGTTTCTTCAGGAGGTTTATGCACACGTTCTCCTGCCACAGCTGCTGCATGTGGGATGTTAAATGAATTTTGGGAGCCAAGAGTAGGTGCTGGGCCTGGCTGGAGCCCTCTCTCAATGTGGCAGTAGATACAGAGGAGACCTGTGCCCTGCCCAGCAGCCTGTGGGTCATTCACCCACAGCTGGACACAGTGGGTCAGTCTGGAGGATGGAACCACAACTGGTTCCCAACCTGCTTGCCAAAACCTCCCTCACCCACCCCCCCTGCTCCAGGGTGAGCTCAGCCCTCCTCCTGATCTACCTTTCTTTGGATGCTGTTTCTGATCACTGACTTGCCATTCCTGGGGAAAAAACTCCTGACGTCCAACTGTTGAAGATACAATTACAGTAAAACCTATCTTGGGGCTATTTTTCTTAAAAAGCCAATCCAACTTTTACAAGCTACAGCTGACATATATTAAAGGCTTAAACCAAACTTTCCGTGACATTTTGTTGATGTTACCCTGGCTGGTGCTGGTGGATGTAAGGAACAAGGAGAATTATTCCATCTGAAGGGTTTCCCTCTTAGCTCATGGGTGTAGGAATGTGCAGTGGAGCAACCTGTGCGTGGAAGCTGCAGGTTTTGTGTTTGGAATTGCACAAAACATTGAGTGCAGAGGTGAAGAAACCTGGGGGCAGGAGAGGCAGCCTGTGTCACCCGTGGAAGGGTTGCTGCCCACAGCTGTGATTCATGCATTGCCTGGAACTGTCCTCTTTAATTCCCTTCACAATTACCCGTCTGGGCCAGCTGGCACAGCTCTGCCAGCACACACAGGGAAACTGGGAAGCAACTCCTCCTGCCACTGCACTTCGGCTCTGCTTGGTTGGGATCACCCTTCACACCACAGAGAGCCCAGCAGTGCTGTCTATTTTCTCTCACAGCAGAGGGATTCTTTGGAATTGTTTGCTGTTGACTCTGCAGCTGAAGTACAAAAGTTCTCCTTGCATCATCCCAAAATCTGCTTTGCAAATACCTGGTCCTGGGAAGGATGGGGGCCAGTGACACCAGAACTGGTGGCCCAAGCTCTGTGTTAACCCACTGAGCTGCTTTTAGAGAAGTCGTACACTTCTCAGGGTCTTATTTATCTTATTTTCCTTTATTTCCCCTCAATCTTTATTTTTCCTCCTTGAAAAAGCAACTCATCAAAAGAGTGGGTAAAACACTGAATCACAGAATGGTTCGGGTTGGGAGGGACCTCAAATGCCATCCATGGAAATCCCTTGCCGTGGGCAGGGACACCTTCAACTAAACCAGGTTACTCCGTGCCCTTTCCAGCCTGGCTCTGAAAACTTCCAGGGCATCCACAGCTTCTCTGGGCAATGATCGAGCACCTCATTGTAAAAAATCTCTTCCTGATACCTATTCTGCCCTCCATCAGTTTAAAAATATTATTCCTTGTCTCTGCCAAGAAGTTTTCCCCCACTTTCCTTAGGTGCTGAAAGGCGGCAACAGGGTCTCCCCGGCGACCTTATTATCCCAGTATATTGGGAATAAGGAGGAGGAAAAAGTGACTGAGTTGCCGCCAACACCGTGACGCCCCAGCTGGCGATTCCCTGCAGCCCTGGGGGGACAGAGAGCGGGGAATGCACAGCACACAGCCCTCGGCGGGATTCACCCCGTGCGGACCCAGCGGCAGCCCCGGGACGGCGGCGGCGCACCGACCCAGCCCCCGACGGTGCGTCCCTCCCCGCGCACCAACCAATGAGTGTCATCCCTCTCCTGCTTCTCCCCTCCCCGTCTCATTATGCACCGCCGTGTGTCTTGTGATAGGCTGCCGGGTTTCTCCGCCGTCCCCGCCGCCGTGTCCGCTCCCGCCGCTGCCTTCGCTGCGCTGCGGCGGCGGAGCGTGCGCTGGGCGGGCGGCAGCGCGGCACACGGCGAGAGAGGCGCTGGGGCCGTTGCTGAGCCCCCACGGGTGCCATGAGGCGCCGGCGCAGAGCCGAGCCCGAGCCGGCCGGGCCTCCAGCATGCATCCCGGCGCACGCCCGGCGGCACATGGGGCAGCCGCCTGAACCGCTGCACTCGATGTCCCGTCGCGCTGCCGCCCGCTGAACAGCGGAGCTGCTGCTGCTCTTCGATCATGCTCTTCCTCTGGCTCTACATGTTCTACTTCGTGCGCCTGTGGTTCTGGTGGCCTGCGCCTGGCTGGGCGCCCGCGGCTCTCGCCGCAGCCGCCCCGCGCCGCCCCGGACGGGGGAGCCGGGGCGAGGAGAGCAGCACTGGAGGAGCACGAGGCAGCGCCCGACGCCCGCCAGCCCCAATCTCCAGCTGTCTTAAACGCTCCGGCACCAAGCGCTGCCTGCGAGCCTCATCATCGGCGTCAAGAAAGGGGGACGCGGGCGCATGCTGGAGTTCCTGCGGCGTGCACCCGCACGTTGCGCGCCGGTGGCGCGCAGAGCCCCACTTCTTCGACCGCAACTACGAGCGGGGACTCGCCTGGTACAGGTACGGGACGGGGGGCGGGGGGTGCCCCTGTCCCGCCCTGGCCGCCCCGGTGCGGGGGTGCGGGCTCCGGAGCAGCTCGGGGAGCGCCCGGGGCCGAGTCCACTCAGTGCCCACCCCAGAAAAAAACAACCCCTCAAAAATATAATCAACCCAGCGCGCAGCTTGCGCTCCCCGTTAGTCCAGGCGGCGGCGGGCTTGAAGCGATCCACACCGTGTTTGATTCTTATATGAAGGTTAAATATCAGTTTAATATTGTTAAACGCTCTTATTCCGCCGTGCTTCCAGGGCTTTTGCTGGAGCGGTTATTTGTCCTCCAGCTCGGGGTGTTGCTTGGGAATGAGTGGTGTCCCAACCGCGCCGGCACGGCGAGGCGAGGCCGCAATTTGAGGGGATTGACCCGTTTGGGTTTTTTTTTACCCGGTTGGGGGGAGGTTGACCTGGTGTTCTTTTTTTTTTATTATTTTTTGTTTTGGATTTTTTTTTTAACCAGTTTGGAGGGCATTGACATGCTTGGGGATTTTTTTTAAGGCGTTCGGAGGGTTTTCGACCCGTCCCGGGAGCGCAGCCGCAGCCAGATAAAACTTCCTCACTCCCTCCCCGCTCTCCGTCCCCGTTAACTTTCTCCTACCCCGCAATCATCTCCGGATCGATGGCCCGGGGTCGCGATCGCCCGCCCGGCGCGGGGCTGCGGCCGCGGGGGGGAACGGGCGCGTCGGGGACGGGACGAACCCTTTGGCCTGGGAGAAAATTATAAATCCCTGGCTCTCATCCTGCAAGGATGGATGCCGTTCCCAGTGGTTTCGCGAGGAGCAGCCCCGTGAGGGGTGTCCGTGTGCCGATGGGCTCGGCGGAGCGGGAGGCGGTGGGTGCGGAGCAGAAGCGCTGTCGGGCACCGAGCGCGGGGCGAGCCGCGTTTCGGTGTCTTTTCATCCCCTTTCCGATTGAAGTTCCTTTATCGGGAATATTTTGAATATGTCTTTCTACTGAGTGTTTACAGGAATGCTAAAGGAGCAGAGATGGAAACTTTGAAGCCAGATGGGAGCTGTGAAGTTGCGAATTGTAACCTCTTTGTAGTCTTGAAACTCCCACCCGGCAAGTCCGATTAGCTTTATGTCTCTTTTTTTCAATGTTGCCATCCCTCAGCAGTTAGTGAAATGAGTGCAGGATAAGATCTGGCGAGGAGGAAGTCGTTTTTGAAAGCTGTTTTCGTTTTAGGAAATTCTGTCAGTTTGGTGGAGGATGCAGTGCGTGGTCCCACAGCGACCCAGATGAAACCTTTATAAATCCAGTTGGGTTTAAAAAAGTGATAATCTCGCGTTTTGAAGGAGAACTTGCATATAACAGACCAGAAGACCTGTCAGGATTTATTAGCAAAATGGTGTTGTACGTGTTGAACTCTGTTTTTAATTAGGCACCTAAATTAGACCATAAAATGGTTGATTAATCTTTTACAAGTAAGAGGTGGAAGGGGAGAAGGAGAGAATAATGCTTATGATCACGTTCATCTGTTATCCCAGAGGCAGTGGGCAAAAGTCAATATTTAAAGGATACACATTATTTTTAAATTTGGACAACAGGTATCAAAGTTGTGTTTAACTTATTAAAGTTTCCTCTTCTCAGCTGCTGAATTTTAAGCGGAGTGGGCCCTATCCCTGCAAACACATTGCAGTTTCTCGATAGTATTTTTGCTGTTTTAGCTGAAATACAGCAAATCTTGGGATCTAAACGATGATATTCCCGAGCAGCCAGTGCAAGTGATGCTGAAAGTCTTGAAATCACTGGAGTGTGATTCACCCCAGGACGGGAGCGTGTCTGGCTGTCTGTGGGACAGGGACCAGGGTCGATTGGGGGGGACTAAACAATGCAAAATACACGGGGGAGGATGAAAACAACAGACAAGCTGTAATATATTGTGCATTATTTCTAACTCAATTAGAATTAGATGCAGAAGTTTGTTCCTATAAATTTTGGCATTTAAAAATCTGTTCCTGTCTAGTAGTAACTCCAAACTCCCACTGACTTCAGCGAATCTTGGCTTCTCAGCCCTCCTCAAGAACATGCTTATTTCTCCCAGCCCTAATGAGACTTTTATTTATTATCTTAATGTCAATAAGGAGATATGTTTGTATTTTCTTGTTGATGGCCCAATAAAATCGTATTAAAGGTGCCATAGAAATTCAGTGGTGCCAGTGTCACACAGTGAGCTGGGCAAGCTTCGCCTCTGTTTTTCAGATACTTTTGCACAAATCAACTGAACTTTGGAACTGGGGGAGTTACTGTGTCCTCAGCACCCTGTGTGTTCAGTGTAAATCCAATTGCCTGCCTTTGAAATTATAAAGATTTTTAACCAGTTTTTGACCCCCATCTCATTAAAAGTGTATTTTAGTCAGCTGGCTAAATTTGATCATATCCATTAGGAGTTTTTGTTTGTTTATTTAAGTTGTTCCTGCCATCCAAAATCTGCTTTTCCAGATTCCCAAGATGCATAAGGCATCACAAATTTGCTTATTTAGCTTGATGAATTCTTATTTTTGGAAATACTTGCAATTAATCATGTTTGTGTTAACCACTGATCTCTGTCTCAAGTTTTCATCTATAGAAAATAACTTCTGAAGGCGGGAACGCAAAGTTTTTCCTTGCTCCATTTTCTGTCAAGTGAAATGAAATCTGTTGGTTTGTTTCCTTTGTGTGGAAGGCAAAACAGCATCAGGTGGTGCTGACCACCATTCCTGAAAAGCAGAGGGAAAAGAGGGGAAAAATTACATTGTTTTTTTCAATAGTGATATAACTAAAATTTAGTGAAAATAACTTCTGTCCGCACATTGCTGAGTTTGCACCCAGTAATGTTTTAA